GTTCCTCTGCCATCTGTGCAATGGCGGCTAGAAAACTCTCTTGGTGCTCCTTCATCATCTTTTCCAGCTCTCTCTTTCGGACTTTCCTGCCCGATTCGAACTTCGGGTCATGAACAAGGCGCCATTTCTGGCCAGCTGCAAAGAACTGCAGGAGGACTCGTCGGGAGTTCCATTTCGTGAGGCTATCTCCAAGCTGCGCGCCTCCATGCACCCAGCGAAACTCTGTCCCGACTTGTCGAGCTTGCGCGACTGAGATGGTAAGCTCGTAGCCGCTTCTCGTCGACCTCAAGCCGTGAAGGCTTGATGTGTTTCTTGTGGCAGCATCAAAGATACCTCGAGTGTCCATCACAACTGCTCCACTCGAGTTGTTCTTCACAACATTGTACAATGTGCCACGCTCAAAAACTTCTCCATTCAATTCAGTCCAAAAACTTCGAGCACGAAACACTAAGTCCTCTGTCTCGGTCACGGACTGCACTTCCGCGCCGTTTGAACCCAACACTTGGCGTGGAGCCTTGGTGGATTTCCACTGCAGCAATGCAACGTGGTGTTCTTCTCCTGAAAGAAACTCAACAGGGGCCATCCCCAAAACAATGCCCATTGTTGAACTGCTGTCAGGCCGATTGTCAGCTCGCGCCATGGGCGATTCCAATGAAAGAAGGTCAAACACTGATCGCTTTCCCTTCTCATCTCACGCACCAACTTGTTTGCACGAACCAGGGTGTCAACAGTTGCAACAGGCACTTCTGAAAGCAACAATCCAGCGTCTGCCAAAAACTGGGGTGAGGTTTGCGACGCTCTCCATGCTACTGTGCCAATGCAACCTCTGAGGGCCGACACCTCGGCCGCTGTGGCCTTGTCCTTAGTCTGTTTGGCTCTCGCAGGCGTCAACTCAATCTCTTCAATCCACCTTTCGGTGTACTCCTTTTGAGAAATCTTGATTGTACCATCTGTTGATGAGGAGATTTGACAACCTGTGAATGTAAAAGAATCAACATCCCACTTGCCCCACTTGTAGGCTCCCTGCAATGCTTCCAGGGCAGATTGAAACACCTTGCTCTCTTCGGCACCGCCAACCAACACGTCATCGACGTGAACACCAGCAACACTGACCACTGGGCTGCCTGCTTGTGACGTATCGTACAAAGCAAAGACACATTTGTCAGCTTGCATCTGCCGGTATCCAATCTTCACTAGGGTGTTGGAAAGGTGGTCATACCAAGCCTTTGGAGCATTGACCAGGCCATAGAATGCGCGTGTAATGCGCAATGGCATGCATGGTCGCTCCGGTGGTGCACCAAAAAGCACTGCCAACTCTGAGGGGGCCCACACTGTCAGACCTTGGTCTTCCAAACTCTGGTCAGCCGGCAGGAAGGCTGACGTGACATCGCCTCCTCGGATGCGGAATCCAAGATTTGCACTCAAAGCCAAGATCATGTTCCTTGACAGCCGGCTCATGGTGGGTGAACTGCTTTGCACCGAAACCAAATTCGGAGCTTGGTAGCCACATACCACCAAGCGCGCCTTTGCGCTCTGATCGCCCTTCACAGTCAACGCCCAGCGCATAGTCATTACGCTCTTGGGGTTCAGCTGCTTCTGCTCCTGAATGGTCAGGGACCGCAGGGCTTTGGATTGCAGGACTTGGGACATCTCTTTTGCCTGGGCAAGGTCAAAATTCTTCTTCTCTTCGAGGGTCATCTTGCTCCACTCCTTCTCCTTGCCCTTCTCAATGAGCTTCTTTGAAAGCCATATTGCCGATCGGTTGGGATGGTTGTGCAGGTATTGTAGGTCGTTGGGCTTGACCTCAATCTCCACTTGGTAGATGGTGTCATCCTCAACCATCATGAAAAGGTTGGAGTGGTCTTTGGCCTTTCGCTTCTGAACGGCCTTCCCTTTTCGCACTTGCTTCTTCTTGGCCGGAATCAGCTCTTCAGAGCTGCTGGAGCTTGATGATGACGAGGAGCTTGATGAGGAGTCATCTGCCGGAGCAATGCCTTCTTTGGCATTCCAGTGGAACCTCTTGTTGAACCTGTTCAAATGTGGTCCATCATGTCCGCCAGGCAGAGTGCATTCGGAGACAGAACATTGGTTACCAATGACTGTTTGTCCTCCAGCCTCATGTGCTTCAGGATCAACTCCTGGCCGAGGGGTACTTGGCATCCCTGCTGGCGTAGGTGGTAGAGGTTCACCTTCATGCTCAGGTACTGGTGGAACTGCTCGAGGTGTGCCAGGCTCATCTGTGGCGTTTCTCTTGACGCCCTTCTTCACTTCCTTGGCCTGTCGTTTGGCTGGCCTCGAACTCGAGCTTGTGGATATCTCAAACCATGTCTCACCAGTCCATCGTTCTTGTAGGTGTCGATGGGGTTCGTCAGCCTCTCGAAAATTGTCTTCGAGAACTGTCTGCTCAGCATTCTTCACTGCTGGCTTGACGTAGGTCTTGTGGACTCCTGTGAGGGAATCTTCCGGGACTGGGCACTGATTCACTCGCCCCGGAGTGAAAAGTGCAAGTCGTGGAACACGATGGACTCGAATCAGCCACCTGCCCTTCTCAACTCTCCAATGGTCGGTCTTGAACTTGTCACCTGCTGGCTCGAGTTGCACTGTTGTCTCACTGACATCTTGATGTCGATCTTGTTCGCTGGGGGCCTCACCACAGACATTGGTGAAATGCTTTCCTGTGAAGTGGCGAAGCAAAGAATCCAGCGTCACTGGCAGTTTGTATACTGCTGTTCCTTCAAGGGATGTGTGCAGCTCCTCTCGTCGGGTGACTGGACGCACCTGATTCAACTTGGCCTTGACAATGGCTGAACCTGTAGCTAGCCACACTGTGCTTCCTTCCTGCAAAAGAACTCTGAGAGGGCCAACCCATCTTGTCTTCCCGCCTTGTTGGCGCCACAGCATCACCAAAGCGCCAGTGCGGTACTGGTTCATAGGACGGCCAACTGCATTTGCCAACTTGCTCACGCGAGCTTTTGCAGATTCCATCTCATAGGCGATCTTTGCCTTGGCCTTCAGGTTGAGCATACCATCAAAAGCAGCTTTGGGATTCAGGCCCACAGGTAGGGAAGGTTCTGGAGCATCTGATCCCCTGCACCACTGAAATGGTGAAAACCCATGAGGCCCGATCGTCTGGTTGTGGCCGTGGGTTGCCAAGTTCATCAAATCACCTGCTTCCAGCTCAGGGCATTCTTTGCGAAGCCGTTTGAACGTGTTCTTCAAGATGCCTATGCATCCTTCCTCGGCTCCCAAAACCCAGTGAGCTTCTGCCGGGGCTGTCAACACTCCAATGCCAGATCTTGCCATGTAGTCAATGTAATCTGACGATGTGTAGTAGGTTGCAGGATCGGAGATCACCCAGCGAGGTGCAGGATTGTGAAGAAGCCAATGTCCGAAAGAGCGAAGAACGTCAGTTGTCTTGGGCTCCCAACATCTCCCAACGCTCTTCACTTGTGTAATTTGCAGGAGCTCAGTGTATGCCAGGCCACTTGCTCGATCCCTCCAGAGAATGAATTTGCCCTTCATGGTCTTGTCGTCCTCTTGGAACTCAACCTCAAACACATCTGTTCCGACCTGTTCGAACAGACTGGGCAAATCATCTGTCGATGAAGGAGGTGGTGGTCGTGGCTTCCGTGCCTCAATGCAATCAGGACACTGGATCTCCTTTGACAATTCAATGGCCCAGTCAGGGGCCTTCCTCATGCGAAGGAGCTTCTCCAAGTTCTTCATGGAAGAGTGTCTGGAGGCCTTGTGGATACGGAGCATAGTTTGCTTGACTTGTTCCAATTTCTTCCCTGTTGGCCTTTCTGCAGCAAAGCGTTGGCGCTGTAGTGCAAAAATCTTTGGGCTCTCTTCTCTCACGCAATGCTCACAAGTGCCTTCTTCGTGAGCTTCGTCAACATCCAGGAGACAAAGTTGGATGTCCTTTGCCATTGACACTTGTGCTTCTTCTTCAGGGCGTGTCCAACTTGAAATCAAAGACTTGCAAACAGCCTCAACCATGGCCTTCGGGTAGTAGGCCGATGACTGTGCCACAGGGCCTCTGCACTCGAGATGGTCAGGATGACCAGGACAGCGCTTTTGCAAGGAAAGCCATACCTGACGGTCTGATGTCATCACCGTCCAACTCTTCAAGATCGGATGCCCTTCATACTGAAGACCGTAGGCGCAGCCGTGGAAGCGACACCAAAAGATCGGTCGACCGAGTGCTCTCATCTTTCTCAGCAATCTCGAGATGCACCTTCCTTTCCAGCCCTTGGTGGCTCTGGTTGGCCACTCCCAGCAAAAATCGTTACCGTTGTCGAGGGATTCGCAGATGTCTTCACTGACTTCATCTGCTCGCTTCAAATCACGATTTTGCCGCTGGAGGAACAGGGCCATCTCTTGCTCCGTTCTCTGGGTCAGGTTGACCAGAGGACTGCTCCTTGTACATGGAAGGCTCACCCATGACATTCTGGCGGGGCTCTGTCGCATCGTCTCCTTGAGGTGAGACGTTCCAGCCTTCGTCTCAAGGTCATAGCCGTTCTTGTAGTTGATGCGACGGATGCTATAGCCCTTCTCTTCCATTGCCGTGCGCAGGGAGCTGTTTGGAGCACATGCGATCTCCTGGAAGTCCACACCTTTGTTCATCTGTGACATCAAAATCTGTGTGGGGCTCATGATCATCGTGCCGATGGTGGCTGCTGCCATTGCCAGCTTTCTTGCGGTGCTCAGAGAGACTGGTTGCCCTCGTTCATGACTGACCTTCTTGGTGGTGAGAGTCCAAGTTCGGGGAAGATCCTCCACCTTGGAGTTCAAAACTGTGCCATGCTCATCAAGAGGTGGCGGAGAAATGGTGTCGTGGTTCGTAGTGTTCGTCGTGGGTGTCGTGGAACTAGGGCAGTCGGCTGCCAAGTTCATGCCATTGGGATTGGAAGGCTCAGAGCCGCCTTCATGGCCATCGGTGGCCGTCTTCTTCATCCTCACTTCTCGCAAGCGCTCCCAGAGCGCGGCGATCGTCTGGCTCAATCGCCTTTTGGGGCCGAGTGGCCATTCGCCATGTCCATATGCTCGTCCTCCGAGGTCACATCGATGACCGGGTTCTCCTCCTCCACATGGATCGGAAGCTCTGGCTTCGATGGGGCCGATGGACTGGATCTCTTGCCTGGTGATGGCGACCGGCTTGGCTTGTAGCCCATCATCTTCTTGATGTCTGCCTTCAGGCCGGTCTTCTCCTCGGCTGAGCTTGGGGAGGTCTTCAAACCCTCCGGAGATCCCGGCACTGTCGTCGCCGGCGTCGATGGGGCTGCCGACCTTTCCTTCTCCTTCTTGACCGTCACCAGAGGCTTCCCATCTGCTCGGCCATACCGCTCCAGGCGCTCTTCGTACTCCTTGAGAGTCATGTTGATGGCCAGGGATGTCTTGATCCCCATCTGGAGCATCGTGCCCTTGATCTCCATGAGCTTGCCATTCACCATATCGGCTGTCACCTGGTCGGGAGGCGTGATCTTCTCGATGGATGCCATGGCCAAGCGGATCAAATGAGGATCCGGGCCCATCTGTCTGGTATGTCCACCAGCTGCCTTCTTGCTGACATAGGCGAGGCGTAGGCCACACTGCACGCACTGACTCCAAGTGGCGTGCTGGTTCTGCCTCATCTTCCCTTCTTTATGCTTTCCAAAGCACGGGAAGCCCTCCACTCTCGGGTCGTCACATGCCGCTGGAGCTCTCACGGACATGCCGAGCGGGGACTCGATGATGAAGCTCGTTCAACCTTTGAGCCAGAAGCTGGAGACGTTCTTGCACTGACTGCTTGGATTGGTGGCTGCTGCGAAAAGAACTCTCACTCTTGGCTGAAGGCTCAAAAACACTTTGCATCAAAACATGCTCAACTGAGGGTGCTGTGGGAGTAGAGGTGGAAAAAGCATGGACTGCTGCTGCACAAGGACTGCTCTCCTCTTTTGCACCTCGAGTTGAGGTCATCGTCCAAAGGTCTCGTGCCTCAGAAACATGAACTGGATTGGCCGCCAGGTCAATCGTGAGGTGTCCTGACGACAAAGCCTCAAGCTGAACAGCCTTTGCTTCCTCCTCTACTTGTGCCAATTCCCCATGGGGTCGAAAAACAAACATGCCGTTGTTGTATCCAGTTCCATCCAAAACGTAAAAGGACATGGGTCCCAAGGATGTGCCCTGGAGACTGACCTTGCTGACCGCCTTGTCGGTCTGGCCGTTCCCAAAGCGGAAGGTGGGCAGGCTGTCATTGGTGACCAAATAGGAAAAACCACCTGACACAACTAAATCATTCAAAGCATCAATGCCTACGGCGTTCTTTGTTGCGCCAGTATCGATGACAGCCTTGGTGGCCGGGCGACCATGCAGGGTCTGTGCGTCCCAGTTCACATTGAACATGGCCGGCTCGGAGAAAAAGGTCGGCTTGCCTTTTCCTTTGCCACCAAACTTGCTTTTGCCTTTTCCACTGGACTTGAAGCCCTTTCCTTTGCTCTTCGATTTGCCAGCAAATCTGTCGGGGCAGTTCTGGTATCCGTGGGTTGGCTTCCCACAGATGAAGCATGGACCAAATTTTGGCTTGCCTCCATCCTTGCTACCCTTTCCTTTGCTGCGGCCTTTGTCCAGCATCGTCGAACTCTTGCTCATGCCCTTGCCCGCCACGTTCTCAGGCGAGTAGTAGCCACGAGCAGCTCGAACTTTCTTAACTGCCTCTCTTGCTTCGTGGAGTGTGCGATGTGCCTCATCTGCTATGGCGAAAGCTTCCTGCAGCTGCCGCTCTTCAGGCACCTCGCTGTTCTGTTCTGGATTGATCTCTTCATCATCGATCCAGCCATCTTGCCAATCGACTTCATGCCATGACCAGTCATCCGACCAATCGTTCCAGAACGTGGGCTCATTCCAATCGTCCCAACTGCTGGGACTCCACTCTTGCCAGTCAATGTCCCCAAAAACATCATCTTGATGCTCCTGAGGCCATTCCTCATCCAACCACCAAGCCATTCGCCTTCGATCAGCTCCGGCGGTTGCAGTGTTTTCCGCTTCATCGGAGAACAAAGTCCTGAGGGCCAAACGAATACCAAAGTAATGGGTCGAGTTGCCCGTTTGGGTCAACACGTTTTGCCGTTCAGAAGTGGTCAATCTCGCAGCCTTGAGGAGTCTGTAGCCTCTCAACTCGTCCTCAAAGAAGCTAGCCATCGGAGCAACATCACTCAAAACAGCTGGCTCTCGTGCGACAGGTCTCCGATTTGCACCTGCAACTGGCGATCTCGAAGGGGTAGTCGGTGGATCAACAACTCTGCTCGATCCCTCAACTGTTGTACCACGTGGATGGAAAAACGTAGCTGCTCCAAAAGCACCAACATTGACACCACTTGAACCAATGTTGTCGCCCAATGTTGCAGCAACACCTGAACTCGATGCAATGCCCGTCTCAATGCGGGATCCGGTTTTCGCAGCACGCGAACGTTCCAACGCTTGTTGCAAAGAAACAAACAGATCTTCCTCTCGGACCAGGAGTTCAGGGATGCTTTCTTTTGGATGTCTCTTCAAAGGATGCCAGGCCTCTAGGCGGCTAAGGGAGTCAGGAACTGGCAGAGCCTGCAGCGGCGACGCTCGAAGCACCTCCAACAGACGTGAAAGACCTTCGGAGTCCTCATAGTCCTCGGGAGGGAGATGCTTGACCACTTGCTTTGCAACTCCAGTGAGCTTTTGCCAAACCTTGCTTGCAGCCAACTTTTGCTCGCTGTCTTTGAGGCTTCGTTGAAACCATTTGCAATGGGTAGCAAAAGCTTCGAAGGTAGATGCATCACCGTCCCAAGTGGGTACGAGGTCGTGACCGCTTGACATCCCCTGGAGCGTAGCGCTCCGCTACCATGCACTCGGTAGCGGAGGCTTCAACCAACCAACAACAATGAAGCAACCTTCAATGTACCAACAACTCGCTAACCTCTAGCGACAAAGGATCACCGACATGTGGTGGCGCACCGTTTTCTATCTGAGGCTCAAACGTTCGAACCCACCCGGCTTCGGATGGTCGCTCATGGAACCCTCGTGGACAAAGTCTCACCATGGATCATGCTCGGTGCTTCGCATGTCATCCCTAAACTCTCATGTACAATAAACTGTACAGTCCCAGACTGGCGTATCTGAGGGTTTTCAAGTAGATGTCATTTATGAAGGGTTTTGAGGTTGATATGGCCTATCGGCTTGAAAACCCCTGCAACAAGAGTTCATCTTGTGTTTGTGGGCAAGTTTGGGCTCACAGCGGGGGAGCGCTGTGCTTGGGGTCCTTGTCAGCTTTAGCCTCAGATCAAGTGCTGGTGCGCGCTGGAAGAGGTCTTTGTGTAGTGTGTTACTGTAATGTGTGTTACCTGAACCCTGAAACACGACCATAGAACACATGCCATGAGCATGAGCATGTGCATTGGCATAGTAGAAACCATGCCATGAGCATGACCATGGTAAATTGGAACCACGCCATGAGCATGAGCATGTCTTCGAACCATGTACATGTTCACACTAACGGGTCATGAGTGTGTGTGAACATTTGCGTTTCTAACCGCAGCGTTTCAACTCAAGATGGAGACCTCAGCTGGCGGAAAGGAGCAGGTGCATTCACGCATTTATTGGGGCAGGGAGATCAAACAAACTGATCGCTGGCAGGCTATGGCTCAGGAGAAAGCTGCGCTTTCGATGGGCGTTCAGAGCTTGGGCAGCAACTACATTACACTTTGAATTTTTGTGCATTGAGGCATCTGCAAAGGCGAAGCCTCGGCGCGTGGTCTCAGAAGTGGAGCAGTACCCGCCACCCATGCCAAAGCACCAGCCCAAGCCAAAGCAAGAACAAAAGGGTGACGAGAAGCCACCTGCCAAGGACTTCATCCATGTGCATGAGCATGTGCACGGACATGATCATCCGAGAACAGTCAGTCATGTTGCCAGGATGACATGTTGTTGAAGGAGGAAGTACCAGCCCCTTCCACCAGCCCTAAACCAGCTGGTGGGCCTGCGGCACCGGAAGAAGACAATGGCCGGCCTGAAGACCCAAGGATTTGGCCCCCAGATAAGAGACTGAAGACAACTTCTAGGGCTACCAACTCGAAGGAAGGAGTTTTCAGGCACGCGTTCCTGCTTCCATGTGATTCCCTCCACTTGCCAGGCTCATGTGTGTTAGTTGTTTGATGGCAAACTTTGTGTTCGCACTTCCCCGAAGGTCGTCTGATGGCAAGGTTTGGAACTTGCCACCGCCTGCTGTGCTCCCCATCAGGAGGTGGGTATTGCTGATTGAATTTTAGTGGCACCCTTCATGGATGCAGGCCTCTGCCGCGTCGAGATGATGTATGATGTGGCTGGCGCCTCATTGGACAAAGGTTCTTATATATACAGCTAGCTGCGTCATTTGTTTGAGGACTGGTGCTGCCCTACAGGAGGTTTCTGCTTGGAAAAGCTGCGCGTCGAGTGACATGCAGGGTGGGAGTGTCACTGCTTACTGAATGAGTAGCTGTGCCTTGACTCTCTGTACAGCTCCTGAGGTCATGGCCTTTGTGAGTGGTTGCCTTATAGTGTGCCTGAGGGCCGTCAGGTATGTACCTTTCCCTAGATTCTTGCTCCAGGAAATGTCTTCCGTGCGGCACTTACAACTTCGCATGGGCACGTGCATGCGTATGCTGGGCAACTGTTCATGGTCGGTGCGCAGTTTTCATGGGCATGCTTAAAATGTTCCTGTCCAATGTTTTCATGCGCATGTGACATGTGCATGTGCATGCTCATATTGTTCATGTCCATGTGCATGTGCATGCGCGCGCTCATATGTCCACTGTTTCCATGGGCATGTGCACGCGCATGCCTGGCATGCACTTACCTGTCATGGCATGGGCATGTCAGCCATGAACATGCCCCAATTCTATATCAGAGTGAACATGTTCAGATTTGACCTGCCCAGGTCCTACTCCATGCAGCTTCCTCCAAACCGTCATGGGGTGCCCACGTTCCAGGTCGCCGTCAATTTCCTGTCTAGGTTTTCTGCGCAACTCACACCTGATAGAGCCTTTTGGAAGCTGTTTGGGCTTCTCAACTCAGCACTGATTACTTAGTGCGCTGTTGCCCGGGATGCCACGGGAACTGAAGCAGCTTTGTGAAGACCCCAATCTTGTCAGCAAGTACTGCGCGGCCTTTTCAGCAGAAGACCGATTGAAGAATGCTGGAACCTCATTTGTTGGACATGAAAGTTTTTTGTCCGCTGGCTTCAATTCACGGAAAGCTTGCTCAGGTGAACTTTAACTTTATTCAAGCACACAGTGAAGACTTGTTCAAGAAGAAGGGGAAAGCTACATGCAAGGACTTGGAGCTAAATGTGGAGGCTTGGGCCATCTTGGGGCTTCGCAGATGTGACAGGAAACACGTTCAATTTCAATTGTTGGAATGTTGATTGGGTTTTTGTTGCGGGCTGCAGGCCATCTACGCGATCATGAGTGTCACGCCTACCGGTCGCCTTTCTGATGAAGTTGTCGGAAAAGCTATATCTCAGTTTTATGTGGATAACAAGCTCTTGCCCGTTGGCATTTCAATAGGTGCCCTGGACGAGTTGGCCATGAAGTTTGCTTTGGGCCTTCGCAGGCTTGTGGGCCTCTTTAGGCGGCAATTTGATCAGACCCCAACTGCTGCCAAAAGCAAGGCGTTGGCCCAGTTGAAGGCACGCCTTCGTGAGGCGAACGTTGTGCTCACGAGATCCGGCTCACAAAGCTCGTTGTCTCGATCGGCCACTGAGGAGGACATGGAAGCTTTGTCTGATGGCAAATCGTTTGACTGGAACCTCTTAGCTGCCAAAATTATGGAGCGCAAAGCAGAGAAAGATCGGAAGGAGTCTGAAGTATTGAAAGCTTCTGAAGGCCAAGCTCTCGGAAGGCCTGTTGCAACTCCAGCTCGGTCCCACGAGCTTCCAGTCTTTGTGGTGGAAAGCTTGAAGCAGCAAGCCGCTCAACCACCAGCTCCCTTTGTCGCTGGAGGGGAGGATGAAGATGGTCAGACTGCGGAAGGTCGCCAGCAGGCCAAGCCAAAGCCTAAGGCAAAGGCCAAAGGTGGAAAAGGAAAGCCTTCGAAAAAGTCTAAGGCGAAGCCACCTGTAGCAGATGATGAAGTAGAGGAGGCTTTGAAAGTGCAAGAGCCTCTTCTGCAGAAGGTGGGGCCTCCAACACAAGCAGCTGAGCCATGTGCCGAGAAGGCAACTGAGTCGGCAGTCAGCTCTGCTTACATGGCTGGTGACTTTGGCAAGAGAAGGCTAGAGTTCATAGCTAAGAAGCGGGCGGCCAGTGGCAACACCATGAGCTTCAAAGAGGCATCAAACCTGTGGATGTTGTCGGACGAACGCGCTTCCATGCTCCAGGGCTTGGACCCTGTGCAGCTGAAACGCAGGCGCTTTGCATAGTACATAGATCGGTCCATGTGCATGTAGTATGACCATATGCGTCCGGTGTATCTGGATCAGAGTGGTACCTGGCCACTGTGAAAAATTAGAGTGCCTCAGAAGCAATGCAATTTTGCGCCTGTGCCAGAACCCCTTGTTGCCTGCACGCAGAGCCTTCCCACTCAAAACCGAAACCTGCCATAGCTCCATATATATCGTCATGACTTTGGTAGAGATGATGCGATGGGGCGCCCCAGCCATGCTCATCTTACTACATCTTCATTTGCTTTTCTTGGAAGAGCTTGATGGTCGGGTAGCTGGAGCCTCAGCTGTCTGGTGTCTCAGCTGCTGTCTGGTGTCAATGCATGGTGGGCCTTGCCAGGCCTATGACTGGGTGGAGTACTTCAGCGGTGCTGGCAAGGTCAGCAAGGCTATGCGTGAGGCGCGCGCGCAGAATTTAGTCACTTGTATCTTTCTAGTGTATACACACTGGAGTTTGATTGGCGCTGAATGTGAGGCCGGCTTTGTTGGAGTGGAACTGGACAAGTTGCTTTACAAGGAGCATCGGTCCATGGACTTTTTGACGGAAGCTGGCTTT